ACTTGAAAACAAAATCAACAACTTTATATAGTTTTTGGGTGAGACCCTTGTAGTGGTCTCACCCAAATGGTCTGTTTTTCAATCCACAGGTCACCTCTTCAGTATCGGTCATTTGGAGACATAAGTGTCCAACTGGAGCTCTAATCTACAGAAGAGACTGCTGCTTCAAGGTCCTCCCAGGCTCACTCTTATCTAAGACTGGTTTTTATTCACAGCACAAGACAGAAGAACTTTTAAAACTTATAAGTTAAATAATCATTAAATAAACGTTTGTTTATTGTCACTTATAATAATTATAATATAAATGAAATGCTTTCATTAATCTGTGCTTGAATGACTGAAGTTTGAGATGAATGTTATATTATTAAACTGATTTATATATGGATCAGTAATGTGGATATGACAAGGCCATCACCATCTACACTCACACAAGGTTCATAAAGGACAAATTAAAGTTAAGTCAAACACGTGACACATGATTAGGGCTGGGCGATATGACGATTTTAGACCGTTTTACGATCTACACATCTGACGGTCTGTCATTTTTGAGAGACCGTTTTATCACGATTCACAGCTCTGCTGTTTAATTTCTGCCTCTGAATGAAAAGGGAACTTACCTCAGGCGAATGACACGCCTTTGTTTGACCCTTAACCAATCAGAGTGAGTCATAGTAATATATTAGTGCCCCGCTTGTTTTCATTTGTGTGTGAACAAACATGGCTTCGCCGCGGCTGAGCGACAAGTTTTCGTTCCGAAGAGGAACGCAGGGTTTCCTTAGCGCGCGGCGCTAACAACTTAGCGACGTGACATGTCTCGGAGGAAGCGTAAAAACACGTTGGACGCTTCTTCTGAAGCAGGAAAATAACACCGCTTCTTAAGCAGAGCACGACGCCGCCTCGGCTCGTCCACCCTCTGCCGAGCCGGTGTCGGTACCGGACTGAGCTCGGCCACTGGGTCCTTGGAGCTGCCCCGTGACTGCCTGATGGAAAACCAGCAGGTTTCATCAGACTCGTAGTTTCTTGTTTTTGCTGGGGACCCCTGTATTTTACCGCTCCCTCCTGCAGTCTTCCCCTATTAACATTTAAAATGATTCTGTAAATCCGTGTATCAATAGAAACAATCTCTGCCTCTGCCAGCTGCAGTAAATGTAGTCTCCAAATAATAAGAGGTGCATTCATCTGTGTATCTCCTTTCATCCACATTAGTGATGTTTTCAGCACCAGAACAGTGAAGCAAAGAAAGATTCCTGAGTTTGTTAGTAATTTTATTTATTAGGTGCATCTAACCTGTTCTATTTTTCTCTGAAATGAGATCAAATCAGTGCTTCTATGGGTTGTCTCCAATCTGCACTGGAAAATTTTACTTTATTTAGAGACTTGTTGCAGAAAATATTCAGAATGCGCAGTTTTTTGCTACCACAAGCGATCTCTGGTCCAGCCGCACATCAGAGCCGTATTTGAGCTTAACTATCCACTACATGAGCAACTGGGAGCTACATAGTATTTTGAACAAGTAAATGTTTGCACAATACGTTTGCAATTGACATGTTTGCACTTTAAATATGTTTACGATTTTAATTTATGTTAAGTTACTTGAAAAACGAGAAAAACTGATTTTTGTAATTGTTTCTCTCAGGGCTTTTATCATCTCTGGTGTGAGTTTAAAATATAAGTGTGTTAGCACTGTGCTGATTATCCCTAATATGAATAAATGTTTATTTAATCAATGTTTCTCTTCTTTAATACGCAATTGAAGTTATGCTATTCATGGATAAAAAATCGTGATAAAATCGAAATCGTGATAAAATATTGGAAAAATCGTGATATTCTATTTTTGCCATATCGCCCAGCCCTACACATGATATTTTCTTACCTACAAATCAGAACGTCTGTATCTGAAAGAAGGCGTGGGTTTCTGAGATTCTTGGTATTATCCCTTAACATGGCACGCTCTGATTTGTTAAGGAATTAATATGAGAATATAAAAACAGAATCACTCTGGTGATTCAGCAGTTCGAGTTCAAGTCTGAGTCTGAGTCAGTGTTCCAGTTCTACAGAGTTCTAGAGGAAGCTACGGAAATGGCCGTCCGTAGTGACGTCTCTCTAACTAAGAAGCAGCCTTTGACATGTCGTCAAGGTCGTTGCAAGCTGACACAGCAATCAGTTTCTGCAGAACAAGCTGATTTTGTTCCGACTCCTTAAGAGTCTAGACGCAAATGTTTCCATCCAACTTGTGTGCCTGGTGACATCTCTGGACTAGAGAAGTCGGTGCTGTGGTCAATCTACTGGACCTGGGTGCTCAGAGGTCATCCGACCTCGATGACCTCCTGATCCGTGAAGAGGGTCTCCGAGAAGGGTGAGGCAGAACACAGTGTGATTGTGTCTGATGCTTTTTGATAAGAATCAACTTCATAGCTTAACGCAAACCAAATTCTTTAACACCCAGAACTCAGCTTTCCTAGATACGGTTGTTCTGATAACATTGCATTCACGCATAGGCACCATATACCACATCTCCTCCATCTAGATTCATCCGCCACAGTAAATATTAGTTAACTTGTCATATTTTAATTGTTTGGAAAATACATTCTTACTTTTACAACCCTGACTCTTTTCTTGAATCAAAACGAAGTGTTTACAATCCCTGAATAAAACAAAGAATCCTAGAATCTTCTGATTAAACACACAAAGACCAAGCAGGTTGATATTCTATATTTATATAGAGTACCACAGCTTATTGGTCATAAGTAGAGGTAATATACTGAGCTCTTAAAGCACTCAATTTACCAAATCCTACACCCTCACAAGAGATACATACCTAAAAGCAAATGTTGCTTCTAAAAGATGAAAAACACTACAAAGTCCAAGTTGTAACAGACGCCGTCTGTTTTGTGGCCACTAGGTGCCCTCAGCGTCCCTACCTGCTCTCCTAACTGATTTCAATCAGTGAGGCTCCCTGTTAAAAGGGAGCAGCAGGTGATATACAGGAGGGGGAAGTTCAGAAGAGAACAGGCAGTAGTGGTTGCTCTCCTCTTTCCCTCGTGTGTAAACATCTTAGAATTTGGTCACTTTACCTGTGTGTTATTGGTAAACTCTTCACAGTTTCTAGAGCTCGTTAGTGTTTATTTTGGCATTCTCGTTAAGGAGATCTAGCTCACCCTTCTGGTGGAGTTTTTTTTTTTTGTGTTAATCTTGCTTTTTCCTTACCAGGTTTAAACCCCGGCGCTTTGTGTTTATTATTATCAATAACTTTAAACCCCAGTTTTGGATGACTTTTATGTGTTTGTGACCTTTTATCCTTTTCCTGCATAAAACAGTGACCCTTTTAGTTAAATAAACTCCTTTAAAAGAGAGAATCTTGGTTTGTTTCTGTTCACAACCACCTTTCTTTATGCCCTCTAACCAACATCATCTCCTAGTCGAGCTGGGGGCCGTAAATTAAGTGCAAAAATCATTAAAACATCCTGGTGATTTACAATAAAAACAATACATATTCATGTGTGATTTAAGGAAAAATGCTTCCATTTTGTGTTTTGAGAGCTAAACAATGTTTGGCATCTAGTGGAAAAGTTACTGTGCTGATGTTTGATGTTTGGGTGTACATTTAGCCATGTTTACTCCCAGTAATAATTCTGATTATGCCACATAAATCTGTCAGCACACAGCAGCAGTGACTAGGGATGTCACGGTGTGAAAATTTAACCTCACGGTTATTGTGACCAAAATTACCACGGTTTTCGGTATTATCGCGGTATTTTTTTTAAACGTGTTACATTTTCACACAATTAAATAAACCCTGTATGTCAGGAAATATTGTCCTCAGTTTGTCTAAATTTTGCCTAAAATGTGTTATTTTGTAATTATGTTGTTTATTTGTTTACATTTTTTCCCTTTAGTCTTTAAAATACCAATATTTGCCCATAACTTCTTATTTTTTGTCTCTTTGATGTCATCATATAAAAAATATTAGATCAGATGATACTCAGTACTCAAGTAGCCTTCTAATCAGATACTTTTTTACCCTTACTTGAGTAATAAACCCTATATCAGGAAAATATTGTCCTCGGTTTGTGTCCTTCCAGTGAGCTTTGCAGATGTGGGAAAATGTCATCAGGCAGTAATCATTGTTGAATTCATAATTATTCTCGGAGAGAGACCAACTCTTATCTGCCCCTGGGAACCCCGTAATGCATAGCGTCATTTCAACATGGCGTGTCCGCGACACGGTTTATATGCAGGTAGCGGCGCTGCGGCTGCTTTATATAGCGATTTGTTGCATTCTCCCTCAACCCAAATCCTCGGATCACGCATTTGAGCTAAAACGCTAACGTTAGCTTGCCTTGCGTTGACTGTAGAGTTGTGGGAGATGGTCACGCAGATGTGTTATGAGATTTGAAGCATTGCTGCCTTTCACAGACACTTTTTCTGCACGTGCTGCAAACAGGATAGCCGTCTTCTATCAACTGTCCCTCGGCATTCTTCAAATATCCAAAATATGCCCGTACTTTCGACTTTGTCTTCTTTGAGGGATAATAAATGTCCTGAGAGCTGCCGTCTCCTCCTTTGGCCATTATTTCAGCTTTATCTTCAAGAAAGTTTTGGTTGTAAACAACAAAGTGCTCATGTGCCGCCGGCAACTTCAGCAGATGATACGGTGGCTGGAAAGGGTCACCGCGCCTACACCGCAGCCACGGTAATCCACCGAGATAATATAGTTTTTTTTAAAAAACAAGACGGTTATTATTATTAGTCAAATTTTTTACCAGGGTTTACCGCTACACCGGTTACCGTGACTACCCTAGCAGTGACTGAACTAAATTCTTCTAAATCCTGTAAGAATAACTTTCTCTTTTTAAAGAGAAGCCAGAATAATAAGATTTCATAAAGAAAGAAAGAAAGAAAGAAAGAAAGAAAGAAAGAAAGAAAGAAAGAAAGAAAGAAAGAAAGATGTGTTAAAACCACATTAATCACATAGTAAGAGTGTTTGTTTTTCTACCTACCCATTCTGTGGCTGCAGAGTGCTGGCACGGCCCTGTGAGCTTGCAACGTTTAGTTTAGGCGCATAGGCCACTGGTTTAATAATGGGTCCTGAGTTGGCACTAGTACCACCTGCTGCAAATGGCCTTGCCATGTTGTTAATGGTCGTGCTTGGGACAAAGAAGTACTTTGGCTGAACAGAGGACGCAGAAAGCGAGTCCTGCGGGGGTGTAGAAGAGGGAGACAATGCAGCACAGGGCACAACATGCAGTTAGACATTTGGCACACTCAGATTTTTAAAAAAAAGTTTTGTTGTACAATCCGGTCAAGATCTTTCAGACTCTTGATGACTACTGTGTCCTGCAGCAGCAGCTCTGTCAAAGCCTGCAGGCTTTTCTCTCCACACACATAAGAAGTACAGACACCGCTATTTTATTTGTGCTGGCTGTCACTAAGGACTGGCCAGAGATATCTGCTGTTGCAGTTAAAATGACAGAGCTTAAAGTGGGAATGTGTTATATAAAACTGACAAGGCTCACTAATGAGACTTCTCATCGAGAATTAGGCATGGATTGCAGAAGAACGGCTATAAACAATAGAACATTGATTCTATTTTGTGTGTGCCAGCTGCTTTATTCTTAACAGCATGCTGCATTAAACACTTCATGCACCCAACACTTGCATGGTGCAGGAAGGAAACCACAGCAAATTCAAAAGGAAACATCTAGACTAAACCAACAATGGAGAGGGTAGATTAATCCAAACACAAAGTGGCACTTTTAATCTAATTGTGTGGAAGACTAAAAGAAATTTTGGAAGTAGTAGTCATTGTAGTAGTAGTAGTAGTCATGCAGCACATCACAACAAACCATCCAGGTGTTCACAAATAGCTCAAAGCTCCAGGTGAACATGGTCTTACCTTCCCATCAGCCTCTTTGGGAGCTCTGAAGGACAAACACAAAGAGTAAAACAATCAGATGACACTTTCTGGTACCTAAATAGATCCAGGTTGAACATTCTGGCTTAGAAATAAATAAAATCATGCAATAAAAACAGCTGGGGGGTGTAATGAGTTGTAAGTGGTTACTTTTAATAAATTGTCAATAAAATATTAAGGTATTCAATAAAATGTAATATTCCATAAAAATGTATGTATAAAATACTGACAATAAATCATTATTAAATTCAGCAAGTACTCATTTGGTGTATTTAAGATTTGACATTAAGCATTATAAGATAAACATTTATGTTGATTCATTCGTTAATGTAAAGCAGTCAAGACATTATTAAGACTTTAGATAATTATTGTTTAAAGAGGATGCATCATTCTTTAAAATTCTTCCTTTTTACATCTAAATCATTCAGTTGGGGTCTACATACAGTGCAACTGCTGATCTCCTCATTACTGTTGCCCTACAGACCCCTCATCTACCCCTGTTCTGAGGAGTCTGGGAATGAGCTGTTTTTGGTACTCTCTCTTTAAATCTGGAGGAGCTTCAAACCCCACTCCCCTCCATAAAGCAGACCTTACACTCTACCCCAGACACACATTTTCAAAAATTTTATTTAACCAGTTATTGACGCCTCCTAACGGTTAATAGCCGGTTAACCAGAGCCCCCCCCCCCCCCCCCCCCCCCAAAATTACGCTTTTTCCGTCTATTCTTTTTAAAATAATTCTAATGCACAACTTGAGGCCCATACCCATTACATTTATAAAAAATGAAAAGAGATTGTGATGAAGCTGAAATGTCCGTCAGACTCAGAGCTTGTTGCGATCATGTGCTTATAAGCGGATTCTGGAAACCACGGTTTTTAAAAAACACTTGAGTTTCCTAACACTTAACTAAATACTTACACTGATATTTCTTTATTTTACTAGTTCAATGAGGCGTCAGACGCAAGTAGGAACGTCACGGCAGACTGACTTGTTGCTGGTCTCTGTTCAGTTTGCTGCTCTACGTTCTACCAGGCTCAGCACTTTGATGTGAGGCTTATAGTGTTCCAAGAATGAAATAACTAAGAATAAACTGCTCCCACGCTGTGCTCTTTGGTAACTGTTTTATGGTTCAAGCACATTTGTTTGGTCATGTGACAAGCTAATTTTTCTTCTGCGGTTGCCCAGTAAAGATAATTTGATAGCAGCGCTCTTGCGGTCTCTAGTGGCACAAAATTTCACCCAAGCGCAGCAGAAGGACTTGAAGCAGTTAATGGTCATCTTCCACTTTAAGCCCATCTAAGCATTTTTGAATAGCTTGACCTATATAAGAAGTATTTTGAATGTAATTATGACTGAGTTCTAATTATTAAAGCATGGTTTGGTGCCCAGGGGCGCAACTACCTACTTTTGGAGGGGAATGCAGACATATTTTATTCATTATATATCCTGTCCTGTCCAATCCATTATGAACAATGATCAACAGCGAAATCCACTGATGCATCCATACTGCTCAGTACCAGAAATGAACTCATCTCAGTTACCAAAAGAACCAGTCAGCTAGCAAAAATGCTGTTGAACACATGAGCGTGCAGAACTTTGCAAAACTACTAGACTCAATTTGAGGGACAAAGTTGAATCCAGCTGCTATTTATTTGTTGTTGGTGTTTATAGAAAGTGAATATATCTACAGAGATTTTAGGCTCAGGGCTGAGTTTTATACCTCAGGCCAACTAGATCATGACCTGTTATTAATAAGATGTTATGGAAAATTTATGTTTATTATTTCTTGATCATGGACTCAATCAACTGAATGTAAATGTATTGCTCTATACCTCTTTGATCATGCTCACTCTTTCAGACACACCCACTCACACACACACACTCTTGACTTGTGACACACACACACACACACAAACACACACACACACACACAAAATCTCTCTCTCTCTCTCTCTCTCTATATATATATATATATATATATAAACTCTGTGACCGGATGGCATTTTGCCTCGTGCATTTTGCCACAGTTATAACTGTTTGACTTGTCTGCTCATTGTCTCCTTCTCTCTTCACTATAAGAAATGGGTTATTGATAAACATATTGATAAAATCCATGACATTATTTGGTCCTTCGAAAGCCGGAGTCCCATCACCTCGCGGCGCCAAGGGCTGACGCCGGAAAACTGTAGACAACCTAAATGTTCTCTGGCACTGTGCTTTCGCTGGGGGTCGGTGTGAGGATCTTGACGTTGCTGGGAGGGGATGCGGATCCACGAACTACTCAGGAAAGACCTGAGTGGAGAGATTTGGTGAGACAAGTTTGTTTGTTGTGTGTTTGTCTTTGTGGTACCGAGAGAAAATCCTAGGTGACCAGAGAATAAAGCGGTGTCATCCGCCATGATGAAGTAGACCGATGTGGTAACTATGAGATTAAGTGGTGACGTCCGCCTTGAATAGGATGGTTTTTGACAGATTCTCTGAATGCTATATGTGTTTGGCTTGGTTTTAAGCATTTTGCCAGAGAATTAGAAACGTGCTCTGGTTATCTGTGTTGTTGTTGTTTGTTTGTCTTAGATGTTGTCTGCTTTAATTATAGTTCGAATGGATGAGAGAGTGTCTGGACTTGCTTATTCTTTTACAAAGAAGGATATTGCAACTCATTTACACACGATTCAAGTTGGTGGCCAGACTTTTAAACTGGTTGGCTGATAAGTGAGTCCCGCTGTGTTTAGAGCAAGCCCCCACAATGCGGCTTTAAAATTGAGTCCAACCCGGAAGTACCACAAATTGCAGTTCCACTCTCATCCACTGGGGCTGGTATCAGAAGCAAGCAAATCCTCATTGACTCCCATGTTAAAATTACCAATTTCACAGCAGAAATAAACATGTTTACAGCCTGGTACCAAAACATGTTTTTGTTTAAATTATCTAGGTTACACTCATGACAACTCTGAGGGGGGTGGATTTTTTTCTCACTCTTCTGTTTAAGTGTATTAAAAGCCTAAAATTCTGTATAATTAATGAGCATCAGACCCACGTGACCGCCGCCTCAGACCCACGTGACCGCAGAGCTAGCTCCGTGGAAAGGCCTCAGTAGAGCCTCGGCCTGGCTTGGAAACTGTTCCGGGATTTTGAGTCTCTGTGTTTGTGTATTCTTTTTTTTTGCAATTGTTGGACAAAATGACTTGCTGTGGCATTAATTGCACTAATAGAGTGTCCAAGGAGTCTCCACTTCATTTTTTTCGGTAAGTAAAATTATATTTATGGATTTTAGGTCACTGCCGAGCTGAGCTTAGATTTTAACATGTACTGTTTAACCATGAAAATTAAATGCAATAGGGTAAAACCCAGTGCATTTAACATATTGCTGCACTTTAGAAAATGGGTTGAAATATAACATGATGGTGGAGCTGGGTTCCGACTATCGGCTTGTGGAGCTCTCGGGAGACCAATTTTTTCCACCCGGAATGCCGGCTGTTTCTCCCCGCAGCCCGGTCCATCTCTGTCTGATCGCGGCTTCTGTGTGCTGCGGCGGGCTGACGGCTGGTTCTCCCAGCAGCTCGGCGCATCTGTCTGATCGCGGCTTCTGTGTGCTGCTGCGGGCTGACGGCTGGTTCTTATGGCAAGCCAGAACCGCCAAAATACGCCACTTCTCCCCGCAGCTCGGCACATCTCTGTCTGATTGCGGCTTCTGTTTGCTGCGGCAGGCTGACGGCTTGTGGAGCTCTGGGATGGAAACCTTTCAGCCTGGTTCTCCCCAGCGGCAGCTCTGCGCATCTCAGATCGCAGCGGCGCTTGTCTGCTGTGCGGCTGCCGGCTTGTGGAGGTCTCCGAGACCTCTGTGTTCCACCCGGTTTTACCCAGCGGTCAGCCCGGCGTATCTCTGACTCAGAAGCTTTGGTGTTGTGCACAGTTATCTCCGGTTGTAGCTAGGTTGCTACCTCCGTTAGCTTAGCTCCCACCTCCGCATTAGCTTTGGGTTAGCTTCAGGTTAGCTTGTAGCTAGTTCAACCGGGTGTCGTCAGTTGATCCCAGCCTTACAGCCCCACCCTCAGCTCCTCCTCTCTTCCCTTTTATGGAATTGTCTGGGCTTGACGGAACCTGTGACACGGTCAAAATGGTGGTGCTGGCCACCTCCCATTTGGGATCAAAAACGTTATATTGGAGCCTATGGAAAGAAGATGTCCACGTATATTATGTCGATGGTTTAGAGACACAGTTGAAGGGCGTGTCATCGTGGAATGCGACCACTGGCGGCGTATGCAATTTGACGTGAGTGTCACCCACCCAGTTACCCACATCCTTCAGTCTGTAGATGTCCCCTTGAGACATAATTGGTAAGTTAATGATGAAAACTAGCTCCCTAGCAGCGGGATCGACCCGTAGTGGGATAGCACTGCCAAACGAGAAAGCCAAGTGAGTCTGAAGGGCAGTCACATCACCCTTTATAGCTCTATTAAGCGCGTTCCGGACCATGTCCAGGGACACGAGGTACGGAGGAATCTTCCCCATGAGAAGGGCGTCAACAAGAGCACTTACATCCCGACTGTAGTCGGACAGGCAAGTGGTCAGTATCTGAGTGTGTGCATAATCAACTGTAACAACGGAACACAATTCGTTCACCGCGGAAGTTGTTTTAAGCAGAATGTTGCTATGTGTGTTGAGTACTACCACAGAATTACATTCGGACACGCCCAGTTGCTTTGACGCACACTGTTGGTGAAGCACTTGCTTACGCAGGGACAGGAATTCCCTGTTGAGCTCATCGACGTCAAACCGTGTCGATCTTGACCGAGTTGACTGATGAGAATCCTAAATTAAAAAGAGATCCAATTGTAGTAGCAAATGACTTCTCCCTAACGTGGGTACCAGAAAGATCACTATTGGAAACCGTGACTTTCTGCGCCTGGAGTAGTATGTGAGAGACGTCAGCTTCAAAGTGCCACATCATCGTAGATGTCCAGATGGTACCGGTTTCCGAAAGGGTACCAAAGGCACTCAGGAGG